GCGCTGACTGGCGCCGCGGCGCCGGCCAGGCCGGCGGCGCCGAGGCCGCCACCCAAGCCGCCAAACGCGTCCAGAGAAAGCGCGTTGCCGTACGCATTGAGCGTCCCATAGTCGCCCATCGCGCCGCCAAACGCGCCGCCGCCGCCGCCGGCCTGGCCCAGGGAGGCGGAGTGGTTGGCGAGCGCCGCCGCGAAAGCGCTGCTCGTCGCCGAACCCCCCTGGCCATGGAACGCATCCAGCAGGCTGCTGAACCCAGCCCCGACTGAGCCCCCCACCGACGGCAGCACCCCGCCCCCGTTGCCGGCGGCATCTGCGGCGCCGCCCCCGCCGCCGAGGCTGCCGCCTTGGTCCTGCCCGTCCCCGCCCGGCTGCTGGCCGCCGCCCGGCCCGCCACCGCCGTCGCTGCCGCCCGGGAAACCCCCGCCGCCGTTGCTGCCGCCGTTACCACCGTTCACGCCGCCGCCGTCGCGCCCCTGCTCCTGCCCCTGCTGCCCCGCGTCCCCGTCCGCCTGCCCGCCCGCGCCTGCGCCGGCCCCCGCCGCCGCGGCCGCCTGCTGCCGCCGCAGGTTCTCGGCAGCTGCCAGCTCCTCCATCAGCTGGTTCACCGACTGGCCCGTCGTGCCGACACCCGACAAGTCCAGGCCCGCCAGTAGACCGCCGCCCCCGAGGCCCCCCAAGCCGCCGCCAAGCCCACCAAGGACCGTCCCAAAGCCGCTCGTGACCTCCCTGTTTGGGGGTCCCCCGGAGATCGCCGCGCCGAGCGCCGACGCGGTGTCGTCCAGCTGGCGCAGCAGCAGCTGCGCCTGGTCCGCCGCGCCGCCGCCGCCGCTCGCGCCGGCGCCGCCGGCAGCGCCGCCGCCGCTGCCGGCGCCGCTCAGGCTGAGGAGCTGCTGCTGCAGCTGCAGCTGCGAGGGGGTGCCGCCGCCGCCGGACCCGACATTGACCAGGTCCTGCAGATTCAGCTGGTCCCCAAACGCCGACGCGCCGCCCAGCTGCGCGGCGGCGTCGGCGCCGCCGCCGGCGTCGCCGAAGTGCGCCGCGCCGCCGAAGCCGTCGCCGAGCATTCCGGGGGCGCGCTGCTGGGGTGGCGCCACGCCGGTGCCAAGGAGCGATAGGTACTCGGTGATCGGGTAGTTGGTGCGGGCTGGGCAGGGTTGTTTGAATGGGGAAGAGGGGAGAGGGGCAGTGTGGACTTGGGATGGTAGCGAGGGTGAGGGGAGCGGAGGCCGCGCCAATCATTGAGGCCGGCGTGGTCACAAGGGATAGACCCGCGCCTGAGATGCGCGCGCGCCGCATGGGGGAAAGGGGGGGGGGCAAGCTGCGCTGCGGTTGCGCGATGCGCGCGCGCGAGAAGGGGACGCGCACCACTGGCGCCCCTGAGCTCGACGAGCTTCCTGTCGTAGGCCTTCGCCGCATCCTGCGCCGTGTCAAAGTATCCCAAAAATATCTTCTTGGACTGGAACCCCAGCTGGCAGCGCCAGCGACGCGTCTTCTTGTCCCAGAAGACGCCCCTGGGCGGCAAAGCATTGGGGTGTGGGGCATGGGGGGTCCGACGTGACACAGCGGTTGGGGCCTGGCGCTGCGCGGGCGCTGCCTCGCCCGCCCTAGCTCACGGCAGGTCAGACGTCCCTGCAGCGGCATGCGCGCATGCCGACGGGGCATGCGGGGCGCGCGCATGCTGCATGCATGCGTGTTGCGCGCCCATGCGGACTGCTGGCGTGGGGGGCTCGGGCGCTCACGCACCGCCGCTGGGCGATCCTGATCGTCGCACCTGTATTGGCGCTTCAGGCGCTCTCTCTCCGCATCACTCAGCTCGTCCTCCATGGCTGGAGTTTAGAGGTTGCCGGGGCACCCCGGATCGCTCGCTGGGGCTTGACTGCCCGCCGCTGCCTGGGGTGGTGCGCATGCGCGCGCGCAAGGCCCGCAGCGTCAGCATGAGGGCCCAGCGGGATGGCCGCTGCTGGCGCGGCAGCCGCGGCGAGCTGCAGCTGCGCGTCCCCGCCTCACGGTGCGCAGCCGCGGGTGCGGGTGGCGGGTGCCGAACCCGAGGAACTCGGGTGGCGGGTCACGCCTGAGGTGAGACGGCTACTGCGCGCCATCCACGCTGTTCTGCCCATCCACGGGCGCCGAGCCGCGAGCTATGCAACGATCAGGGCCACCTTTCACTCTGACAGGCGCTTGGGGCCGAGGAGAGGGCAAGGCGCGGCGGCAACGTGCTGTCCGATCTACGGGGTCCCCACGCACTGTGCACGCTTGCTAGAGGAGTCCACTCTTGTAGGCGATCACCTCACACACGGCTCACCGACGCCGCTGCGGTGTGGTGTGAGGGGCACCTGGGTGTGGCGGTGTGCCTGTCCTGGTAGTGCGGCGTGGCGACCCCGCCAGCAGTACGGTATGCCTGAAAAATTAAGCTCAGTCCGTGGCAACGTGGAAGACGGGGCAAACCAGCCGTCGTGCTTTCGGCCGCTGTGCAACAATTTTTGGCCAACAGGTACAAAGTATGTCCTGTGAGATTCTGACAGTTATATCAAAGACCTCGCGGCCACCTTCCCTGCTGATCTAGACAGAAGCTTTTGCATCGACATGCAGCCGAGTTGTCGATGCGCGCTTCATCGAGTCGAGGGCAGCCGGCTTGGCAACAATTACGACATAAGATACACAAGTTGTGGGACCACAGGTACCGCGATTTTGAGTGGTCCGCGCACCGGCCTAGTCGCCCGCCATGTGGTTGCTCGCGCTGTGCTGATCAGCACATCGGCTGAGAGGCCCAAGAAGTGAGAACCTTTTGTTACTTGGGTTGAGGATGCAAGGGATTTTGCACTCTTCCTTGGGTTATCATCTCAGGGGTGCTGCATTGCGCAACTACGGTAGCGACGGGAGACGTCATTGCTAGCTGGGCAACCTGCGGCTGAATTTCCGATTTGAATTGTCCGTCTTGTGCTCGCCCTTCATAATACTGCAGAGACTCAGCGCAAAAACCTTCTACAATGTCTGCCTTTCTGGATAAAAATGGTCACAGATGCAACTGGTGCTTCAGAAGCGGGGGTCCTCGAACAGCTGACAAGCCCCGTCAGCCTAGCTTGCCCCGTCCCCCTCGAACGCCCCAACACCCGCTTTCTCCTTTGGCACACGCAAAATGCGACATAATGGTCACAGGTCGATCAACACGGTCGATCATCTTGTGCAACTGCCCCAGTTGTTTCACAATGTTTTTGTAATAAGATTGATGTCTGCGCCATGCTTGACGGCTTGCCCAGCCCTCGTCTCGAGGCGCAGACCAGGCGTACGTGATTGATATACGGCCTGTGAATTGCTGGACTGATGTGATCAATGTCGTGCAGCAGTCGTCTTGACTAGGGCAGTAGTCGTCTTCCCTAGGGGCCGCGGGGGTGGTTGACTACTGGGCTCATGCCACGTGCAATGCAGGCATGCCGCGCCTCAGGGTCCGGTAGCTCGCTGGTGGCCCCGCACCACCAGGCATCATGCACCACGCACCTTCTAGCAGCCACCGCCACCCCACTCCATTCGCACAGGGGGGGGGGGGGGGGCACAGGCGCCTGGCTTGTCAGCACTTGAGCACATGTACCACACCTGCGAGGATTAAGCAGGTCCTTATGTCCATTATGCAAAATGTGCCACAACACTTACGGACACGTCCGTCCTGATCGCAATTCTGTTGGAGTGGTAGTCGTCACAACGCCCTGGCACCGTGAGTGACACCTCGGCGGCCGGCTGGGCTACTGCAACCAGCGGCAAGACTCACACCCCCAATTGCAAAATCACAAGTGCTCTGATTCGAAAGACGTGCTCGCCTGGGCGATCGAATTGCATTCCAGCAGCCTGCGCAACGCGAGACTGCGTGTCCGGTTGCCAGACATGGCTGCGTTTGCCAGCAGCAAGGCGCAGACTACTCTCGCTAAGCATGCCAGCCATCTGAATGTGGGGAGGCTGCCCCTGGTGCGCTGGTTTCACGAGATCCTTCCGGCCGAGCCTGCATGTGGACGCTCTTATCCGACCTTCTGATGCCAGCATCATTTCATCCTCACAGATCGCGCGTCGGCCATTCACCAGCTGCGGCGACTGCGCGCGCCGCTCCGCTGCTGCTGCCACCCCCGCCGTGCCTGTCCGGGACCCCTCCGGCAGGTTCGATGGCCTCAGGTGTGTGCCTCAAAAGGACCGACGATGTAAATGCCAGTCCACGATGCCGCCAATGCAGGGCCTCGGATGATGCGTGCCGGCGCGCACCCGCCTACAACCTCCGCAACCCACTCAGCCCAACCACTCCCCAACCACGCGTTCAGGTGCCGCTCCGCGCCGCAGCACCGCGTCTGCTTCTTCGGCTTCGGCGGTGAGCACCCCACCATTCAGCTTTGCATGCTGCCCACTGTGCAGCCGCTGCGCAGCCCAGCCCTGCACATTGAGCGAGGGCCACCCCTGCACACGGCAGCTGGGCGGTGCCAGGGGGAGCTACTGTCTCGGGCATGTAGCCAGCCAGAGCGCTCGCCCCCCTGACGCCGCCGGGCGCTCGCCCGCCCGGCCCCACCCCAGGCAACGACGAGCCTGAGTATGAGGACGAGCTTACGGTGGCGAAGCTGCAGGTGAGCGCGTCTGCGGCGCAACACTGGGGCTTCCCTATCGCGAGCGGCAGCGGCGGCGGCGGGGAGGACGCAGAGCTGGCGAGGCAACCTTCCTGGCACGCGCTGGGGCGTGCGTGCGGGAGCCTGTCAGAAAATGCGCACCTGTCTGGGACTGCCCTCAGCGTGGCTGCGGCCGCTCGTGCCCCTTTACAGCCGCTGGCAACGACGTCAGCCCTCGACGGCACACTTGTGCGTGGCATCCGGGATCTGACTGTTTTCTCATCTCTTCAGGTCGTGCATTGCTGTGTGTACTTTGAAACCAATAGGTTGGCATTTTCGGGAAAGTGGAGGAGCTGAAGCGGGAGCTGGACCGGGTGGCGTCACTCATGGACACCGATGACGAGTCGGCCATGCAGGAGCTCGTCCAGGGTAGGGACCGGGGTGACCGCTGCGGGGCGAGCGTGGAAGAGACGTCTGGCGGGCCTTCAACCTGTTTGGATCTGAAGCGGCTGCAGTGGCTCTTTTAAGGGTTGCCGTCACCAGCGGCGTATGGCCCAGGGTGCAGCCGCCCTGCTGCGCTGGCCTCCCGTGCCGCTCGCCTTCCTGAGTTTTCAGCCGGGCCTTGTCCTCTGGTTCGCAGCCAGACGGCTGGTCATGTGGCCCCTCTCTCCCTTGCAAACATCTTTCTTGGTGCATTAATCACACGTCTTTTGGCAAGCACCTTGCTGCCACGCCCCATTCCATGCCGACTCGGTCACCTGAGCTGCAGCCACTGTGCGGTTTGAACGGCTTCTTTCTGGGCACCATCCACTCCCACTGCCCCCTGCCTCTCAGCCCAGCCCAGCCCACCACCACCCCCAACCCTGCGTACCCCACCCCACCCCTCCACAGACCTGGTCATCCTTTTGAGCCGCAACATCGAGTACTGCGCCTACGGCTCCAGCGCCATCTTCCTCACCGACGACTTTGATGAGGCGGAGCAGAAGTTCAGCCAGGTCGCCATGAAGGTGCGCAGGGGTAGGGGATGTCAAAGGTTCGTGCACTCTGCTCGAGCATGACGGGGCCATCAAGGTGCCCGTTGGGCTTTCAGGGGGCATGGGGCAAAGGAACAAGCGTGGAGCCTCAGCCGCCGCGGGCTGTCGGGGAGCCCATTCCACCCCCTGCGCTGCAGCAGTTGCCGCCGCTGCCGCGGCTCTTGCCCGTGCCGCGTCCACCTTGCGGGTCATTTGTCAGGGTTTGATTCGATTTCAATTTGGTCGATTGGAAGCGTGGCGTCCAATGGGTAGCAATCCAGTTGGCCGACTTGACCGACTGCCCAGCCTGTGGCTTGCTCCTGCAAGGGGCTTGGCACTGATCAGGAGCGAGGCGATCCGCTGAGTGTTCGGCCCGCGGGCAGTCAAGGGCCGCGCCACAACCGTTGCCTCCCACACCCTCTTTGCGCCCCATCGCACTGCATCCCGCCCCTCACAACCCATTTAACCCAGGAGCGGTTGGTCTTCAAGAAGGAGACGCTCGCCAACGTCGGCGGCCGCGGCCTGGCCCGGTCGGCGCTCAAGGAGCAGGGCTCCGGTGAGCCGCCGCGCCGCGCCTCGCGCGTGTGCCTGCACCCTCGCGTGCACGCTGTGCATCGCCTCATTTGGCACGCCTTTGTCCCCCTTGCCCCGTGGAGTGTTGGCTGCCGTGCACACCGCAACCCCTCCGCAACAGCGTTTCCTGCCTCACTCCCACTCACTAGCCCCACGTTAGCCAACCGCGGCAATCATTGGTCGCGCACCTGCTGCATATAAACCCTCAACTCGCGACAACCCTCGGGCTCGCTTCTCTCTGTTGGCTGAGCCCCTCACTTCCTCCCTGCCCGCTTTCCAATGAGTCACAGACGTCGGGCTCGACAAGTGGCTGTGCGTCACCCTGCTGGTGGCCGCCGAGTGCGCCCTGAAGCTTCCCAAGGTGCGGTCCCTGGCCGACCTCAAGGAGTGCCTGACCCTGCTGGGCGGCCTGAGGGTGGACGACGTGGTGGCTGTCGAGCTGCTGTGGACACCCCAGGAGGAGGGCGACGCGTACAGCAAGGACGAGCTTCTCGCTGACTACCCGGCGCTCGCAAACCTCTAGGGGACGGTTTCGATTAGAGGTTAGGGCTCCCGGCGAGGGGTTGTGTAGCGGGTGGGTTTGGCTGGCTGGCGGTGCATGTGGGGTCCTTCTTGTCTGGGCGGCTGAGAGTGGGGCCACCCAGGCGTCTCGCGTTGCAGCTGCTTGCGGACTGGCGGCTCATCTATAACCTGAGAGTTTGAACCAATTTTGGCTTAGCCGCTTAGTCGTTTGGGCAGGAATCGTATGTAACCTTGCGATTCACAACCTCACCATTCTGGATGGAGCAGAGCTGCAGACTGCTGTGTGTGTGGAGCGGGGGGCGAGCCCAGACTGAATGAAGGCAACGGCCTGGCTGGGCAAAGGCGCGGCAGGGCATGCGGATGGCGTGAGAGGAAGCGGCATGTTATTAGCCATGCATTGTAGCACACGTGCGACGAGTTGCATGCACATCTCTGCAGTCAGGAGGCTGCGAGACTGGCGGGCTGCCGGTCAACAGCTTTGAGATGGTAATGACACGCCCCAATATCGCGGGCCCCAGCCGGGCGTGGGCGCACCTTGCACGCCGATGGCGCTGCACAGGCCAGCCCGCGAGCACCACGGTTGCCTTCTGGCGCACGATCCGTGACTTGCAGCGAGCTGCAGATTTCGGTGCACTTTCAAGGGCTCTCGCGGGTGCCGGCGGCGGTGCCGGAGTCGCTTGTATCGTTATGATGCCCAGGCCAGCTCGCCGCAATTGCTATCTTGGTTTTACGCACTCACTCTTTCCACAGCCAGCCAAGGTTGCACCGGTCATATGAGTCGCCACCGCCCGAGAGAGCAGGATGGTGTGCCGACGCGTGTGTCTTCGAGAGCTTTGTGGTCAGGCTTTGTGGGCGTGTGAAATACGAGGTTGAGCTTAAGAAATCTGGGCTGCATTTGTATCGTACCACAAGCTTCAGCAGCTTCGATCTGCGCTAGGCTACCAGCGGGGGCCCCGCAGCGTGGCATCTATCGGAACCTTAGGCTCACGGGAACTTTGTGGGTCCCTTGAGGGACGCGGTCCCATACGCCGCAGCGGCGCCTGCGGCTCGGCGCCCTGCTGCGCCTGACGAGCGCCCAGCTCAATCTCTAGCTGACGTCTCGGCTGGGCTGGCTGCGTGGCGCGATGGACATTGTCGACTTTGGATGGCTGTGGCAGGTACGCAGGCACACTCGTCTGTTCTATTGCCGCCATGCTCTTGCTGCCTGCCCGCCCCCACACCGGCTGCAAGGTGCCGCCCAACCCATTCCACGCGCTGTCTCAAACGCGCCCCCCACAGAATGAGGAGCTTTCTGACTTCACACTTATTATAAAGCCAATCTCGCGCCGCCGCGCGCCCGGCGAGGAAGACCAGCCGCCCGCAGCAGACGCCGCCGCCGCCGGAGGTACCTGCAGCGCCGCCGCTGCCCGGGGTGCGCGCCGCGGCAGGGCCGCCCGCCGCGCCCACGGGCAGCGGCTCGCAGCGGCGACCGAGCCTGCTGCACGCGAGGCGACTCGCAGGAGCCCGAGGGTGCGGCGCTCTGGCGTACAGGCGCACGAGCGGCAGCAACAGGGGCAGCAGCAGGCGCCGGAGCAGCAGCAGCTGGAGGAGCATCAGCAACCTCCAGAAAGGGCCGCAGATGCAGGCCAGCAAGAGCAGCGGCAGCAGCAGGAGCAGCAGCAGCAGCAGCAGCAGCAGCAGCAGCAGCAGGAGCATAAAAGGGGCAGGCGCACCCGTGGCCGACAGGCGGTGCAGCAGCTGCAGCAAGCAGAGCAGCAGCAGGAGCCGGGGGGCACTGAGCAAGGCCAGCAGGCCGGCAACGACCAGCGCAGGGGCAGGCGGCTGCTGCGCGCGCGCCGCTGCAGCAGCAGCCAACCGGGTGTGGCAGCGGGCGGCGTGCCAGACGCGGCTGCGGCTGCCGCTTGGGCCGGAGGTGGGGGTGAGGGCGAGCTGCAGCAGCAAGAGCAGCAGCAACGGCAGGAGCAGCAGCAGCAGGAGGAGCAGGAGCAGCAGCATCAGCAGCAACAGCATCATCAGCAGCAGCAAGCCGCTGCACCCAGCTCGTTTTCTGCGGGAGGGAGGGTCACGCGGGGAGCCCGTCGGGTCCAGCAGCAGCAGCAGCAGCAGCAGCAGCAGCAGCAGCAGCAGCAGCAGCAGCAGCAGGCGGAGGAGCAGCAGCAGCAGCCACCCGCCAAGCGGCAGCGGCGGGGGCAGCAGCAGCATCAGCAGCAGCCGGTGGCGGCGCCGCCCCCGGCAGGGGCCGAAGGGGCCGGGCCCGGCCCGTCTTCCCTTGCGTTGGCGGCGGCCGACGCGGCGGCGGCGGGCGTGCGCAGGATTCCTGTTCACGCAGCGGTGCTGAGTGGCATGTCGCCTTACTTCAAGGTGGGGAGGCAGTATGGCGGGCATTCAAACCAACAACAGACCTTTTTACTCCGCATTAGGGACTCCGTTCCCGGGGACTTGTGTTCGCAGAACTCGTCACCCGTCCCGGGTGGCCTGATCTGAAGGCGCCGCAACCGTTTGAGCTGTGGGGTTGGCACCGGCCGCCTTCTGCACCCATCGCATGCTCCCCTAGCCCTTGCCCCACCCCTTGACTGGGCCACGGCAGGTGCTGGTGCGCAATTGGAGCGGCAGCCTGGTCGATCGCACGATAACGCTCGAGGTGCGTTGCTTTTAGGTTCCGCGACCGCAGCAGCGCGTCTCGCGCGAGTGGCGCACGCGCGCACCGTCCCTGGAGCAGCGTCGGCGGCGCCTGGGACAGGCCGTGCGGCGCGAGCTGCGTGCGCAGTGCATCCAGAATCGGGGCTGCAGCGCACTGGCTGCCCGGCGGCGTTCTGCCCAGCAGGCCAGGCCCCTGAATGGCTTGGACCGAATCCCCTTGCAAGCTGCCGCCCCCCGCGCAGCCCTCAGCCGCGCTTCTTTGTCTTGGCCATCCGGCTTGACTGCGCTGCGTCCCGGCCGCCCCTCAACTGCCCCTCTCGTCACCCCTCGATCGCTGCCAACCGCTGCCGATTGCGCTGAAATGTTTCATGCGCTCCTGCCGACACCTCTCAACCGCCCCCAACCGCCCCCAACCGCCCCCAACCGCCCTCAGGTTGGGGAAGACGAGGGCTATGCCGCCGAGCTCATGGTCGAGTTCATGTACACGGGGCGGCTGCCACAGGTGGGCGGTTTTTTCTATTGTGATACCTTCCTTTGCCAAAATGACGTCATCCAGGGTTCTGGGCGCAGGGTGGTTGCACGGGGCGGGGCGGCCGCACGCGTGCTGTGTGATTGAGGGCGCTTCGTTCGTGTCATCGGTTGCCGCCAGTGAGCTGAGGGTGTGGTGTTGAGCGACGCCTGGGGGGGCTCTTACCACGGTTGGGCTTGAGAAGCGGTTTTCGGAAGCGTGCGCTGTATACGTAGGGGCCCCGCCACCCACGGGCGGCGGAGACATGCAGTACCAGCACCACGCTAGCTGCTGCCAGATCAGCCGCCGGGGCGGCCTGGGCCCGCTTTGCCGGGTGTGGGGCAAGGTGCTGTGTCAGGGAGGCCGGAAGTGCATGCAGCGAGGCGTGCTCGCCGATTTCCCCTGCGCCCGCCATCCCGCGACAGCTGCCCCGCCCACGCCGCGCACGCTCTCGCAGGACGCGCCGCCCACCGAGCTGCTGCGCATGATCCGCCTGGCGGACCAATATCAGGTGTGCGCCGGCGTTGCGCCCAACTGCGACAACCGAGCGGATGCTCGCTTGCAGGGACGCTGGCCCAGCCCCCACCCCCCCTCCCGGCCCCTGGCTGCAAGCGGACCCCCCGATTTTGCTGCCCCCCGCCGACCACGGACGCGCGCTCCTGCACGCGCGCCCGCTCGCCCCGGCCGGCCCCGGCACGCGGTCAAACCCGGTCAACCCCGGTCGGACGCGGTCAAACCCCCGGCCGCAGGTCCAGCGCTTCCTGTCCGCCTGCAACGCGTCGTTCGACGGCCTGCCCCTCGACCGGATTGACCTGGGCGTCGCCCTCAGCGTGTTCTCGCTGCCGCCGCTCATGTTGGAGAGCGACGCGCTGGCCAGGGTGGTGCGAAAAGTCGAGCTCAAGGTGCAGGCGGTGTTTGGAGACCTGGAGCAGGCGAGCGTGCGCGGCGGTGGGGCGCGTGGCTGGGTGTGGGAC